AGTAGGGAAGTCATCTGGTTTCATATCTTCAGAAGCGTATGACAATGTACCGTTGCTAGCAGTATGGGAAGAGAAATGGATGGACTTCAAATCAGTGAAACTTAATTTTAAAACTAATAGATGCTACTAAGGTTGAATAATTAAGATTGAAATGAAAAGTATGTGTGTAAAAAAGAGTAAACTTTGATAAGCATAAAAATAATGAAAATGATTAGAAAAATATAATAATTAAAAATTGCTAACCGTATCCAGAATGCTAATTTGATAAAATGTGATCATTTACGAAAATTACGGCCATAGCATTACAGCAAGCGGTTGCGTGTTGCAGTCCATTGTTGTAACGCCTCATACCGGATAACAAAGAGATGATAATACGGCCGTCTTTCGTTCGCGTTAATATAAACTAAATAATTTTATTTACGGCGAAATGCGAAAATCGTTGGTATGTTTATGTAGAAGCTGGAAAATACATTGAATTCAATAGCAGAAAGCTATTTTTTAAAATATTTATTAATAATAAATGCTACTTTTGACGCTCTTTGTTTAAGGATTGTTCAAATTGGAAGTAGTGTAAAACAGAAATTTTTCGTATTACATAGCGCCATTGACAATATCGCGAGAAAGTTACATGCTGTATTGCTAGCATCACTAGTGGATATCTTGTAACGCGTTTTAGTAAGAGTGCATATTTTGAACTCGTGGAGTAAAACGTTGCTGTGAGCTATTAATGACCATTTCTAAAACTAATTGAAAAGTGACCCGCGAAAAACCATCTCGGATTTGATGAAAAAAACACAATTTTTTATGCTAAGCCAAAGGAACGTTATGTAAGTTGTCGCCTTCATAGGTTCAAACGGTTTTTGAGATTACAACAATTTGTTTCCACTCCGGCAGATGCCCTTGCCAGAGATATACAATTTATGTCTCTACCATACGTCCACTATGGACGTTCAAGCTCCCGAATGGATGAAATCGTGAACAGCGGAATTTACCGCTCAAATGCACGGTTTTAAAAAGTCTTATTACACATTTTCACAACTTCAGAAAAAAATATTTCCTTCTCCGCATGCGTAAAACAAATGAAATTGACATATTTGTCCTTTTTATTCTCGAAGGTTCCACTTAGAACACTAAAAGTAAACTTTTCTACGATATGTCTGAGACATCTTCGAAAAACATCGGCTGTCATACGGAGAAGATTGAAAGCCTCTGATACGCCATTTTCTATGAACACTGATTGCCAAGTAATGAAAGCCAGACGGCTTATTCTGTTCGAGATAACGTGAGTTCGCGTAAGATAAACAAAATCGCAAAAGGTCTCATATTTTTAATACCCACAGTACGAGCGACAGTTGCGTAACGAAAGTGCGGTCTCGCCCGCAAACCTCTTTATCCGCACCCTCTTTATGAGAGTAATTTAGTTTCCTAAATATAAAAAATAGCCTTTAATAAATTAGAATTCATCCGTCATGATTTAATAGCCAATAGTGCAAAAAAAACTGCCTTCATGATTTAATTTGATGAAATTAAGTCATAAAACTTTTAAGAAGTTGCGTTCCCTTTATTAACGAAATTAGGTACATAAGCTACGAAGCGGGGAAAAAATGATCAGGAAGATACTGATTTTAATCTTTTATTTGTTATCAAGTAATCAAAAGTTTCAGAGTAAGTATTTCAAGCGAATTAATATTTTGTACAATCGAAAAAACCTTCAGCATAAAAGATAGGCTCTCATTTTCCTGGCCGCCCTTGCGCGGCCTGACATTGGACACTGTCCGTAGACTCCATTGTAGAAGTTAAGGACTAATATTGAACTACGAAATAATTTTTGAGCGTGGCCAAATTACTATATCTTTTCAATATAGATACGATATGACTACTGTTTTGGTTGGTAGAACTTGCAGCCGCGTGACAGAATTTAGAGGGGGAAGTCCCTACTTGCCGCTGACTAATGACCTCCAACACTTTGATTCGCATTGCCTCCTGTAAACAAGGCTTACAGTTGTACACCACTGGCACACGGACGCGCTTTTTAAAAGCGTCTCGTATCGGTCTGATCGTCTGCGTCTTACAGAATACCACTTGGTGCTTCGATTGTGTGTGTGATAGGCCAAATAACACCGCAGTTGCTGTAGCATTCTTCTAAAGCTGTAAGTGAACTAAACTATAGTAGCAGTCATAGTTTGCATTCCGTACACTATGACGTATAGAAGTATGTTACTCGTTGAAAAGTGTCAATCGGGAGTAACTTAGATTTAGTCTAATAATTATGACAATGAAAGAGTACATGGAACAACTATGTGAAAAAACACAGGTTTTGCTCTGGTTATTTTTACACAAGCTATCTTCACAATTGCAATACCGGAAATAACTCCATATTGTAATTGAAGTCTTGTTGTATTATTTCTACTTTTCAGATTTGTCATTCCTTCGTTTACCTACTTTCATTATGAGTTTCAGAAAAGTACATTGGTTGTGTATTGTATCCTGAATATTCCTCTCTTTTGGACCACTGTGTAGTTCAGCGTATTTAGAATGAAAATACTGACAATTTAAACTTCAGTAATAAAAAATTTAGTTTGAAATAAATTTGCCACAATGCACACATATTTTTTTCATTTAAGTAATTTTAATGGAACACACATTTTTTTCTACTAATTGAAAATGAGGTACATGTGTGTTAATATTACTTTTTACAAGTTATTTTAGTTTAGGGGTACATAAAATATATGTTTCAAAAATGACCATGGGGGCTGTTGTTTTACAAATGATTGAAATTATTACAAGAATAGTAAGTATAATTGGCTTTTTTGACATGCTAATATAATTGACCTACCTGTCCAAATGATTCTAAAAGGTGTTTTTTGCAAATTATTCCCCATAATGTTTGATTATCTAGACACTCATCTGTGCAGTAACAATTGATACAAGAGAAATAGAAGATCACAGAATGTGGAAAATAGTAAGTACCAACATTTTAAAAATAATTTAGGTACTAAGAATAATAGTAAAGGTCCCTAGTGTTTACTTTTAAACAAAGCATATCAATACTTGAAAAAATTTAGCTAAGTTATTAAAAATGTATGACAGTAGTGCCATGGGTCGATGAAGCCAAGAATACATTCCATTTTCCCACTTTCGTTTTTGGTTGTTATAAATGGAGGATATATATGTAGAGAGATAGATATAATCCTGCGTGCTTACTAGGTGAAATTTCTAAATATTCATTGATGAGAGATGCGTGTGATTTTCAAAATAAATAGTTTCTTTTAATGCCTATATATTACAATATCTGTTTGTAAATGCAGTTAATATGATATTAAACTAGGATGAGCACGTCTGTGAACAAATTTGCTATGAAAAATAATTTTTCAAAACTCTTTTTGAATATTTGACCAATTTTAATTTGTATTATCAAAAGCATGGAAAATGCTACGCAAATTCTGCTATTCTGAACAGCTGATCGTATCGGATAGAGAGTAAACACGTGCAGGAGGATACTTCCTACGTAAAGACTCAGGAAGCAAAACTCTTGAGACTGAAAAATATTATAGACGTGTGTGAATGTAGTATGACTATGCGATTTATTATCTTGGAAAATGTGATTTATTGTTTATACATCTCTGTAGCGTGAAAACTTGTCTACATCTTCTATTCATAGTTGTGAAAAGTCTAAATGAATTTTTAGTCTCGAGAACTCTATTTTTTATTCTTTGGAACATGTGTCGGGGTTCGAGCTGGTAAAAGTCAACATATGATTCGTCGCTGTTAGCATGTCATACTCATTCGGGATACATGAAATGTTC